GAAGGGTCGATCAAGGTCATCAGGCAACATATACAGCAACGTATATACAACATTCAAAATTACCAGCAGGAAAAGATAAACACTCCTTTGGACGTGAGTTGCTTTTTGAGCATTGCATGTAAAAAAAAAGCCGAACAGTTAGCAAGTTCCCAAGAACCTCATCTTTCACTCTTCTGTGAAGGGCTTCAGAGATATTTCAAAAGGGAACCTGATGAAATGCATTACTGCTGATTGAGTCAGCAGGTTTACTCCTGAGTTTCATTAGTGAATTCTTCCCAATATTTAGCAACCACAGCGTCTTTGAAGGAGGAAAGGACCAGCTTAACTAAAAATCAAATCCTTCCTAAGGGACAGCAGGCAGAAATATAAGGTCAAACACTTCAGCTGGTATTACAGAAAAGTAGCAGAAAACCAACCTCTGGCTAGAACTAATATATGTAGAAGAGGTTATGACCTCAATTGATCTCTCCATTTCTGCACCAATGGGAGACAGCAAATAACATTTACTTTCTTCATGAGTGAGTGGAAACTAGAGACGATGCTAACAAATTTCATAACCGATATTTGGGCCAGTCTAGTCACGACATCCCAAAGAAGATATAACAGAGCTGGAAAAGATCCAGGGAAAAACAACTAAGATAATCAAGGGGAAAGCTTATCTTTCAGTCAAGGACAGACTAAAAGACTAAAAAGGATTAGAATTTCTCAGACTGGGAAGATGAAAATGAAAAGCATTAGTCGGGGGATGTGAGGCTAAAGTCGACTCTGGACAAAAATAAATGTCTTTGCTGAATTTCAAAGAATTTAATTGAGGCCATTCCTTGAGGCCAAAGGATGCAGATTCAAGAGAAATTGAAATGCCTATATTTATATAGAAGTTGGTACATTTATGGAACATATTATTATTAAGACAAAACTGAAGTGGGGAATAGGAAAAGCTTGACACCATTGGATAAACTCACTGCCAGTTGATTTACAATGCATTATTAAGACGTGGTCATGATGTACCTGAATTTTTTAGGTAAAATGCACTAGGTTACCTGACAAAACAACCGTTGGTATCTTCGTCTAGGACAGAGTTCTGGGCTAGTTGCCCTGTTAGTCTGACCCAGTGTGGTATTTCTTATGCTTTTATTATGACATCTATGCGGGAACATCCTGCATGCATGTTTGAGATTCCTAAATTCTTTTGACAGTCCAGAACACAGACGAACAATTTTCTAACTCATTAAGAAAGCAAGAGAGCCCCAGTTCTTGGCTCTGTTTGGTTTACCCATATGGGAGCATGCAACATAAAAAGGTGAAAGAAATCCTAACAGAATGCAGCAGCTGGTTAAAGGCTATTATATTGAAATTTTCATGAGTTTGACAGTAGGCCAAAAAACTACAAAATGGCAGAGAGTAGAAAAGGCAGTTGTAACAGGTTGAACATTGTTGGTGATTATTTTTTCAGTGGCAATGAAAGCTGTAATCAAATAACCTGAAAGAGATGCTGGCAGGAATAAGGGAACCCCAAGGGAGAGGGAATATGAAAACTGTAACAATGATGTATGCTGTGGACAAATAAACTAGACAAACATGTAGTTTGAAGTATCAAAATCAAGGTTCTTAGCATCATATGAAAAGCTGATGTCAGGATGCAGGCATAAACACTGCCTGATTTGCAAACTAGAGCAAAAGATGTTAATGACTTAAAATCTCAAGAATGAGTGCACAATTCAACAACCAAAAGGAACTGTGCTACTGGTATAGAAACCTCTTGTTATGTGGGCGATCCCTTTATCCCAGCATTGAAAAGAAAAAGTTATAAAGCATTGAAAACATAGCCAGAGAAGACACCTGGTTTTGTAGCTGGGCATCTATGGTAAAAACTCTTGACTGGAAGTCAAGACAAACAAGATAAGAAAGAGGAAAAACAAGGACTGGTTGAAGCATTGTCACTGTAAACTTATTTTTGTTCTTTTTAGACCAATACGGCATGTCAGATTATGAATGGCATTAAGCTGTGCATAAAGTCCACTGAACCTTGTACATCAAATTAATTTGCTTTCAATAGAAAATTTTAGATAATAGTAATGGCTAATAAGACACAAGTGCCATTAATCATCTGCTTACTGACAATGTTCATTTTATAAACATGTGTTTTCCCTATATTACAGTTTAACATTTTACACTTATATTTGAGAAATTATATCATCCCTAATTTCAAACAGATTTATAGTTGGAGAGAATTGCTCTCCATAAGGTTTCAGAGATATTTTTGAGAAATTACGTAATTTCCTCATTCCAAGGAACTGATTATTTCAGAGGCTTTTAAGGTCTCCATACTCACCTTTCTGCAAATTTGTCCTACCTATTTTTCTCTCTCTCTTATCATGAGCCAGGAAGTATAATAGTCCTAAATTATATACCAAGATTTGAGTTCTTTAAAGAGGTGTGGTGAAATTGGAGTGGGTTGACAGGGCATATCTAAAGCTAATTAAACAGTGGAAAAATAAAATTCCTATTTTTTAAAGTAACAATTTGCATTATGTTCATTAAAATAATGAATCTTAAAAATAAAGATATTATCGAACAAAAGCTGAGATCTTAGGTTTTTAAGTTTGGACAGGACAACTGAATGAGTCATACTCATTAAGTCTTAGAGATAAAAAGGATCTTAGATATCATCTAGTCCAACTCTCTATTTTATGAACTAGAAACCAAGGTTTGGCTGGGCACGGTGGCTCAAGCCTGTAATCCCAGCACTTTGAGAGGCCGAGGCGGGTGGATCACCTGAGGTCAGGAGTTCGAGACCAGCCTGACCAATATGGTGAAACCTCGTCTCTACTAAAAATACAAAAATTAGCCAAGGGTGGTGGCAGGTGCCTGTAGTCCCAGCTACTCGGGAGCTAAAATGGGAGAATTGCTTTAACCCAGGGGGCAGGGGTTGCAGTGAGCTGAGGTCGGGTTACTGCACTCCAGCCTGGGCAACAGAGTGAAACTCCATCTCAAAAAAAAAAAAAAAAAAAAAAAACACAAGAAACCAAGATTTTTATAGGTTAAGTGACTTGCCTAAAGCCATACAATCACCTAATGACAGAGCCTTTAAGATTAGACTGGAGAACTAAAATAATAATAAGTTTTCTTTTTCACAGATCTGTGCCCTTATCAATACCATCACCATGGTCTTTAGGTACATGAAGGAGCATTAAACAAATTGGATATGTAGCTGCTCTCTAATTCCACTGAGAAACAGCAAGACACTAATACACAGAAGGGAATTACAGCTTTTCCGGAATTTGTCTCTTTTTTATTTCCGTTCCCCCACAGCAATGTACTGGGATCTCTTGTAGTAGAAGTAACATCAGGGAAAAGAAGATGAATATATAGGGAAAGGACAATGGGACCAGGGAGACCCTAGGAATCCATGTGAGACCTCTAGTGAGCCCCAAACAAGTAGTCATTTGGAGAATAATAGCTTAAAGGTGTCTTGAATTCTCCAGTGATCCTAAAACCTCATCTATGAAAGGAGAAGAGTCTTTATTTCAGTTCATAAAGGAATTGGATAAAAGTGAGAGCTTTATGAATTGGTTGAAGAAGTAGCAGGTTTCAAACATGTTAGTCAGAAATAAAAATTTGTGAGGACAAAGACACTGATGTAGAAAATCACTGTCTAGAGTTTGAAGAAAATTGTTCCATAAAATATACAGTGGATATAAGGTAATACAGTGCATGTCCACATCAATATATTATTTAATAAAGCATGTGATTTAAATAGGTATTTAAAATGTATAATTTTGAGTGACTAAATTAATGAATTAAATATAACAAAAATAATAAAATTAAATTCAGAAAATAAGAAAACTAAAAAGCAGAACCAAAGCATACTAAAAAAGAATTTTCAAGTTAAGAGATACCTCATCTGGAAAAATGTAATAAGACAAATGGTAAACCATTTCCTAAAGTACGTATCTCTCCTGAAAGAGTCAAAAGACTACCTTCACTCCCATTTTTCTGAGTTAACAAAATAGAGGCATAAAATCAAATTTCTTGAGGACTGTAGTAATGAAGATCTAGGACTGCTGTTATTGCTTTAGAACTGAATTAAGAAGAATTGATGGGCAGTGAAAGAATAAAAACAGATTCAATAAAAGATGGCAGGCGGACAAAAATGGGAAAACATATAATATTTTTAGTCAGACTCATGGCAGAAGCAAGTTCAAAGACTTCAGTTGGTATTGAAGACTATTTTATGAACCCAGTAAATTATAATTGTTGCTGAGGTTTCCAATTCAAAGTTAAATTTAAGTAAGACTCTACTGTACAATGGATGAGAGACTGTGAAGGTATCATAATCACTCAATATCCTCTCTCCTTTCTCTTCCATGTTGACCCAATGTATTGTCACTTATATTTCATGCAAAATACGACAGAAGGTACTTCCAAGCACCCATATTCTTTTGACTGGCACAAATGTTTCCAGAAAACAGTATCATTCTGTTGTTGTTAGGTGACAAATACTGAGTGTTATGTATCAAGATGAACAAGTAAGCCCTACAAGTCGAGGACTGCTGCTTTCTGCCTTTTCGAAACATGAAGTATTCATTCACCCAAAACAGTTGTGTACATATAACTGTGGAAATCTTCTACCTTTGACTGAAGAAGAAATGTGAGAAAACCCCCAAATAAATGAAATTGTTCTTGCAAAGATTGACTCCCACTATCAATAAAATTATCTGGAGCTTTTTGTTCTATTGTGAAAAATCCGCCCCCTCTGTCACAAAACACACCATATATCCCACATTAAATAAACTTTTCTTAAAAGTGGTTCCCCATTGCATCAGCAAATTTACAATGGTAATTTTAGAATAAGTTTTTAATCCAAGCTTCCTCAGGAAAAAAAAAGAAATAGGTATTGTAGGCCAGGCTAGTGTCACATTTTAAAAATAAACTCACTTGTGAATATACAGATTAGTCACAATAAATGCTCCTTTAAAAATGTGATACTTCCAACTTACTTGATATAGTAGGGTACTTTGTTTGGCGAGATGGCTCTCTCCCAGGGACCCTGGACAGATGCTGGAAAGGAGGGAGGAAAAAAAGAAAGGCAAGAAGGTCAAATTCATCGCAAACAGGAAAGACAACATTAATCTCCAGAATTACAATTTTACACTGATATTGGTCTGTTTGCTCAGCTGCCCATGAAGACAGGACGGATTAACCTGCTGTTCTGAAATTTCTGTCCTAATCTAAGAGAAATTGAACTCATTCAGGCACAAAGATAAATGCAAAGGAAAAAAAAAAAAAACCCACAAACCTTTCCACTGCTAAACCTATAGAACAGATAAGAAACTGAATGAGTAGACTGACGGGGTGTCTTGTATGTGTCTCCCTTGAGTGCTTTTTTTTTTTTTTTTTTAATAATACTTTCTGTTGCTGGTTCTCAATATTTTTTACTATTTGATTGACTGGATTTTATTATTTCAGTAGCTGAAATATCCCTGTGTGATATATTTACATTCTAAGTTATTGAAGCTAAAGTAATATGCTTATCCCTCTGATATGCTTGTTTTTCTCTTTATTGGTTTAAAGAGAATCCAAATTCACTTACCAAATAGATTCTTAATTTGGGGCCTCAAAATGTCAGCTGACTAGTGTGATCTTATTAGAAAAGGTGACCAAAAGAGGGAATGGTTACTGATATCAGAGTGTAATAAGAAGACTTTTGTTATGAGTGATGAATCCTCTAGGTGAAATTTCATTTCACATACTAGGAATTTGTTTTATTATGACTTCACTGTGTATTGGTCAAACGAATGATCTTTGCAGTTTTTTTTTTTTTTTCAGACTTAAGTTGTAGGATTTCTTCCCTAAAGCTGAACCTCTACAAATATATTTTATATACTGTTTGATCTGATTTTTTTTTCTTTCTTTAAGACAAAATAATCTTGTTGAGGAGGCACTATAACGTTTCCTCAACAACATAATCTTCCTCCTGAATATAATTTTAAGACACTGGAGCTTTAAGAAACACAGACTATTATCAGAAACAGAAATAAAAGCAGCATTCTTATTAACATCTAGCAATTTTATGTGTCTATATTTTTTTCCCTGAATTTTCATTCTGCTAATAATTTGAAGCACAGCTGATGCTGACCATTATTTCCTCTTATGAAAAACTCCCTTTTAAATTAGTCTCACAGTACATTCACTCCACAGTGTATTGAGATGTAAGAAAACGTCAAAGCTAATATATCCTTGACTACACTGTATAATATGAAAGAACAGCTTCTAATAAAAGTTAACTTCACCTACTGCCAGACAATTTAAGGGTAATGAAACTCCAGCTTCTTTGTTTTATATAGAGTAATAGAGGGATCAAATCACCCAACCTTTAACCAGACATGCTGTTTTATACCTTGGAAATATGTCATTTAAACAATATAGGAAACGGATTTGTATTTGGCTGCTAATTATGCTTTTTCATTTTGGCAGATGGAAATTTTTAATATGGAGAAAGAAGACATTTAGCTGCTGTTTCGAAGTAGTCCTTGACTTTCAATTTCTCTCTGTCCTTCTTTCTCTGTTCCTTTATTTTCCCTTCCTCCTGCCTTCCCTGCTTCCCTTTCCATCTTTGCCTTTTTCATTCTCTTCCCAACTCTCCTCTTTTCCTTTTTTCTTCTGTAGGATACAGCTCTCCTGTCCAAACAAGTTCACAGAGTAAATAAGATCTGATTTAAAATTATGGACTAAGGCCAGGCGTGGTGACTCACACCTGTAATCCCAGCACTTTGGGAGGCCGAGGCGGGCAGATTACCTGAGGTCAGTATTCTAACTCTTTCTGGCCAACATGGTGAAACCCCATCTCTACTAAAAACACAAAAAAAAAAAATCTGGGCATGGTGGCAGCCGCCTGTAATCTCAGTTACTCAGGAGGCTGAGGCAGGAGAATCACTTGAACCTGGGAGGTGGAGGATGCCGTGAGCTGAGATCGCACCACTGCACTCCAGCCTGGGTGACAAGAGCGAAACTCCATCTGAAGAACAAACAAACAAACAAAACGTGGGCTAGACTTCCTGACCTATCTGGTCAAAGTCTGTTGTTATGGAAATATTAAAAAGCTAGCCCTCTATAGCAGGAAACATGATGGAGAGTCAGAAATTATAGCTCCTGGCTGCTCAGTGTACCTTCTTCTTAAAATGCCAGCATCATAAAAGGAAGAAGAGAACTCCAGAGAGCTCTTGGTCCAGCCCTCACTAGCTGTGAATGCCAAGCCTGTGAATACCTAAAATGAGAAAAGAATGGCTATTCTTTCCTTAAAGGTCTCTATGGGCTGAGGCCTCACAATTTCTCTCATTATACCTTTCCAGGTTTTTTTTTTTTTTTTTTTTTTTTTTTTTTTTTTTTTTTTTTTTTTTTTTATGTCATTCTAGTGGTCCAGAAATTCTTTCTAATTTGGAGGATGCTAGACCATCCTCTGACAGCAGAAGTATCACTATGGATTTCCTACACTATTCTTAGGCGTCTCTCAGAAAGAAGTGTGCTGGAGAGGGCTGCTGGCTGCCTGGCCTGGCTTAGGGGATTTCGGTCTGAAAGAAACAACTGCCAAGCAGCAAGAGACAGAGGAAAATCGGTGTTGCCTGGCTGAGTTAATGGGAAGACCTACGTAGGGTATCTAGAATTGACTTTATATGTTTACATTAAAAGGGGAAAAATTCCAATTAAATGTCAGAGAAGTTATCAGAATATGCTTGAACTAAATAGCTGAAAATATTTTAAAAGAATTTTTAAAATATTATAAATTCTAGATCAAAATGAAATTTCAGGCTTTTGTAACTGCAGTTCTTAAGTGTTCATTTATTTTCCTTTAAAAAGCCTTTGGTCTTACGTGTAGCCATCAAATAGGTCCAATGGTGAGATTCAGTGTATTTTTTTTTCCTGAAAGATGTTTTTCCCCTTTGATTCACAGTTTATAAATTCACCTAAGCAACTGGTTTGCAGTCATTGTTTGAAACCCTACAATTTTATACTCAAAAATGTCCTTGACATGATTAAAAAAAAAAAAAAAAGGAAAATAACAACAGCCTCCCCTCATTCCTTCCCAGCTCCATCATAACCACATACACACACACTGGAACTACTTGCTTTAGAAATAACACACAATTGGATGATAGTTCTATGGAATTGGGTTCAGTGCTCCTTCTCAAGAGATTCTTAAGGGTTGTTGGCAATTTCATTTGGGGCTGCCAGATGATTCTGGTCTTCCATCTATTCAAAAGTTGATCAAATATGTGGTAGTGCTCATAAGTGTGCCACAGAATTTTTTCATTTCTTGTAGCAGTACTGACGCCAACAACAGCTGTTTCTTATCGCAGTGTACCAGTGGAAGCTTGTCATTCTTCATACAGCTAGCCTACGTAATAGACACACACATCTTTTATGCCTGATGTGTCCATTTTTAGTAGCCCATCAAAAGCAAATTTATCGGCAAATAGTTTTTATATGACACCGGGTTGTCCTTTGGTATTTTCTTTTACAGATGTGTCTATAACCACTATGTGTAATTCCAGGGCAGCTTTGTGATTCAGATTCTTGAATGTACAAATCATCCATTATCATACAGCACCAGCATCATGGGGTATTGTCCATTGAATTTAAATAGCGAACTACACATGCATTTATTTATTGCAAAACAAACCTCTGAATTTCCTTTTGTGTTACAGATACAGTATGTTATTAAGAGCAAGAAAGGGTAGCAATTCTACCTTCAAATGCTTTTCCTTCCTTGAGGTGACAGGATTCAATATTGTGCCCAAGGTAGTTTTGAAAATCACAAGCACAGGCCACATTATTTAGGGGAAGTTCTTATTTCAACCATTTGTAAACGCATGATGAACAGAATGTGCCAAGCGATGCACCCTGGTGTTAAGTCATATTTTAATCGGCACAGGGGCCTAACCAGAAAATTAAAAAGAATGCTAACGTTATTTTAAGACATGCCAAAAGAGCACTTTCTGGAATTCCAACCCAAACAAATTCATTAATCTCTCTACTTTTCTCATATTTGGTGGATCTGGAGTTCGATAACATAAGTGGGTCAAAAAAGTGGGGGCAGTTTAGATAAATAACCAATATAGCAATCACTGGAGGTAAAATGGAAAACTCACCTCTGTGGTTGAACAAAAGGCATTAGGGAGGATCTACTAGCCACTGGCACTTAGCTCCTCAGAAGTACTCAAATTCTGGTAATGGTCTTATGGGTACATTCCATATTGATGCAATGAGCAATGCCTCTGAATCTTTTCCCCACTATCTCTGTACCCCAAACCCTAGGAATCTTTTTAGACATTTTTTTTTCTAGTCGTCTCATCCCTCATAAAAATTTAATACTACAGATGTACTGTATGTCTGTTTACGGACTATGTGTACCTGTGCTTCACACATAAAAATAGTAAGTTTTTTTCCTTATCCGGGAAACAGTTTTCACCCCCTTGGGAGCAATATCACGCTCATGAAGAATGCTTGATCTAGAGGAAGTGAGGGGGATGGTGGCAGGAGGAGAAAGGAACAAGGAGTTATTGAAAACAACTCATGTACCTGAAACATGACCTAAACTAGCTCATTTCAAACTCATAACGACCTGTGAGGTAGGTATTGTCATTTTTACTTTGCAGATGTTGAAGTACCACATTAGATCACATGAGATCAAATGAGCTAGTAAGGTCATAAATTAGATCCTAATTTTGGTTGATTACTCAAGATGAAATCAGATGGATGATCCAGGAAATAAAGGAGAAAACAAATACATTGTATTTCTACTATGTGCCTTGCACTGTATGTTATCTGATGTAATTCTCTCAAGCACCCTGTGAGATCATGCTATTCCATTATTACAGATGAAGCAACCGAGGCTCAGAAATGTTCAGTAAACTAATCCAGGTCATGCAGCTAGTAGAGAGGGCAACCAGGATTACAACCAAGTCTGTTTAGTCTTCGAACTTCACTCTATTTTAGCACGTGTGGTACATAACCGATAATAAATACTTTGCCAAAAAGCCAAGTAAATACATAAATCTTAA